ACTTCGTTTTGATTCTGTCGCTTGGATTCTGTGCTCAGCCATCTGGATGGGTTTACAATCTTTCGGAGTATTTCCGAGATAGAAGCCAGACGATGCAACTGGGTCGGATATAGGTCCTTTTCATTGTCAGTCAAGATAAATCCGAGCCGAGGCATTTGCGAAAGCGCAAGTATATTAAGCAAAGCAACGTGCAAAACTTGCGAAATTCCGACGATGCTTATTTAGATGCGTAAATTATCGCGCGTATACTCGGTATTTTCATTTAATATAAGAAGGGTAAATAATATTAATTCGATGTCACACGGTATTTACACTTTGTATAACGTAATATCTCTTTTTCATTAACAAATTAAAATGATATTCTTCTCAATAATGTAATACTATCGTGTCAGCTCGTGTATACACAATGCTAAATTGTGCTAAATTGCGAAAAATAACACATAAACAAATGTAATTGCTATGTAAATTTAATCAGGCTCCCATTTCAATTAAATATCATTCGTGGAAATAAAATCTCACTTAACTTCTCCTCAGATGTTGCTGTAAATCGAATTGTATTGGTTATTTGAGCACCTTGACGAGAAACTCATTTTATTCCCGAAAGCGATATCGTGTTCGAATGCGGTCTTTAATCGAGATAAAACTCTGTGGGGAATCGACGATTTTTCAAAAAAGCGACGTAATCTTGTTGGTTTGATCTACCCTGTGATTGGATCGTGCGAAGTGCGGGATACAAAACTTTTCTTCTTTCACATCTTCTTTTTCTTTACGAAGAAGAAACTCGCGAATGTTTATAAAGGGGAATTCTGCGGGAAGGAGAAGGATGATGATCGAGGAAGAATCTAAAATAAACCCTGCGCATCTCTATTCTGACATGACTGCGAATAATTATAGATTGCTCATTTGCTTACGCGATAGAAAGTTCAATGAGTAATAATCGGGATCAGCTTGTCTCTCCGTTTGGTCTCTCTCTCAATCTTAATAAGTCCTCTGAGATTCAGTGACTTTGATGGAATTATTCTAATCGCTCCTCCTCGAGGAGATAAGCACGAATCAGATTTACCGCATAACTTTCGCTGCCATTCCCGCTTCAATTCAAAAGGATCCTGTCGAAAACGTCGAATTCGTTATTTGCGCGCTCCGAAATCGAAGGATCTGTTCGATTGAAAAATCCGTCAAAACTGTCTCGGGATCTCTACTCGCGTAGAATGAAATCCGGGGAACGTATTCAACCGCAAAATCTGATTTGAAATCGTCTTGAGATCTATCGACATATATTGAAACATAAAACCCCGGATGTGTTCGACTGTTAAAAAAACTCTTTTCGCAAAGCGAGTTTGCGGCTATATATTATACCCTGCGCGCTTGTTGTAAGATTTACGACACTTATACGACTTTTTCACGGAGTTTCTCGATTCTCTAGAATGCCGAAACACGCTCGTCTTCGTGGAGGCGAGGTCAGCGTGAATTATATTCAGTATTCCGTAAAATCAAGCGTCGTACGTTTCTCTGAGTCTGAATAGGATCTGGCTGGTGACTACTGCCAACCGATCTAGTAAGGTAACCCAAACAAATACCAATGGCACTTGTAAGGGAACCGTACACCGATCGAGTGCACTTCTGGTGAAGTCGACAGTCCGTGTTTTCCATCGTCCCGACGTAACATCCTTCCTCGCCATTTTTCGAGACAAGGTATCCCGCTCGTTCCGTGTATATATATATATATATATCTTTCCGAATCTATCTCTTTATACGAACTTTTCTCTTCCTTTAGATTTATCTTCCTCATTGGAAAACTTTTGCAGACCTTGGATAAATTCCACCCGCGTCTTTAGATATTTTTAAGGTATTTATTTTTCTCGCCCAGACGGAAGACTGTTTGTGTATTTTTCGTAAGTATATGTGTAGAACGTTAAGCTATCGAATCTCGTTAAAAGAATCCGGCTTAACGCGAACTTTTTAATCGATTTCAATTATAAGTGGTAACTTTACGCGATCGTACAGTGCATTTTTCTCGCAACAACGGTTTTAGAGAGCCGTGCTGCATTAAACGCGCGGAGTATTTTGTGCTGATCCCGATTTATCCATAGTTTAACCTAAAGCGAAAGGTACATGTAGGATGGACGGATGCATTATTCATAGAAGAATATCTTCGTTGATAAGAAGCAGTAAAACGTAAAACTTTATGATCCTATCATCTATCAACGTTTTGCACCCATAAAGTCAGCATATAATTTCGATTAAATGTTTTTATATCGTATCGATATTACCGAGGTTCCAGGAAGTAGATCCTAAATTCATCAATTAACTTTTTAAAAAATTTTTTTAATATTTTATGTAGCTTTTTCACCGAAGAACTATTGATTCTGTTCATATTTGATTATATTAATTTTATGCACTTTGATTTACAACATAATAAAACGTATACGTAATGGAGAAACCTGAAAAATAAAATAAGTTGAAAAATCTTCCACCTATTCACACATTTTTCTTCTTGTGTAACAAGCGAAATTCCTTAAAAACGATGACAGTTTACGTGCAGTTTCGCTTTAAGCGGCGCAAATATTGTATGCAATTTCTAGTCGAAGTATTTATCGAATCCTTTACTCGCGATATATGTATGTACATGTATATATACCTACGTACTTTATACCACTTTCATGGCGTGTAGGTTTTGAGTGTACAGGGAAATCGTATAAAGATTTTCTTTCTTTCGCCCCGCACCCTTTCTTTTTCCTCCCACTCTCTGTTACTTTAAATAACCGCATTATATAATACAAACGTAACTGCAAGTATTATGGAGTCAATGTCGTCGAACGCTTTATACATTTTTCACGATAAACCATGTCGGAAATTTCGATGAGGGGTAAGTAACGCGAGATCGGAATTTATTTTATTACGGAAAGATCGAGAATTGCACTCTCCGGGAATCCCCATTGAGCTCGGAGTTTCAGGTTTTCTGATCTCTCTTTCACGATCATTTCACAAATCAAACTTTTCGTATAAATCTGATATATATATATATATATATATATATATATAATTTATTTATTTAATATTTATTTATTATTTCTTATTTGAACTCAAGTTCCCTCAAACGTTAAAATATACAATTAAAATATACAAATATTTAAAGTAATAAGATCGTATCAATATTATTGGAGCAAATAAAATTAAAAAAATGTCAACAAGGAAAAATAAAAAATTGTATTTAGAAGATATAAGAGTTTTAACAAGGCTCTGTAATATAAATATAAATTAACGTATAAGACGGGCAACAGGAGCCAAATCGCGGATGACAATGCGTTATCCTAACGAAACTAAATAATTTTTCGTTTAGAATTAAATACCGGTGCACAAGGCACCAAATTTTACTTGGACACGGCCAAGATTTTAAATATGAAATAATCTCATATTTGAGATTTAATTTCAATACCCTTTTTAACCCCCCACGGAAAATAAATAAATGAATGTAAGAGAAAATATAGATCCGAAAATCGCTGAATCGGGAATCGAACCCGAGACCTTTCGCTTGCCGGGCGACTGCTCTTCCAGCTGCTCTTTCAGCGATTTTCGGATCTATATTTTCTCTTACATTCATTTATTTATTTTCCGTGGGGGGTTAAAAAGGGGTATTGAAATTAAATCTCAAATATGAGATTATTTCATATTTAAAATCTTGGCCGTGTCCAAGTAAAATTTGGTGCCTTGTGCACCGGTATTTAATTCTAAACGAAAAATTATTTAGTTTCGTTAGGATAACGCATTGTCATCCGCGATTTGGCTCCTGTTGCCCGTCTTATACGTTAATTTATATTTATATTACAGAGCCTTGTTAAAACTCTTATATTTGATACACGCTGGCTTAAAAAATGCGTTTGTTTACCAACATTAATATATATAACAGAGAAAAGTATAGAATCGAAAGGATCTGAATAGCTCAGCTGGAAGAGCAGTCGCCCGGCAAGCGAAAGGTCTCGGGTTCGATTCCCGATTCAGCGATTTTCGGATCTATATTTTCTCTTACATTCATTTATTTATTTTCCGTGGGGGGTTAAAAGGGGTATTGAAATTAAATCTCAAATATGAGATTATTTCATATTTAAAATCTTGGCCGTGTCCAAGTAAAATTTGGTGCCTTGTGCACCGGTATTTAATTCTAAACGAAAAATTATTTAGTTTCGTTAGGATAACGCATTGTCATCCGCGATTTGGCTCCTGTTGCCCGTCTTATACGTTAATTTATATGTATTTAGAAGAAATTATAACAATTAAATCACTTCGAAATAATGAGGTTATAATCATACAATAATGTTGAACAGATTTAAGGAGTTTAAATGTACGTAAAGTCCGACGTACAAATGGACCATAATTAATCAAGTTATTTGAATACCACGATTCTGTTATTCATACTAAAAGTAACGATCTCGAATTTTAAGCTCTCGGAAGATAAAGATTAGGAGATACACTTGACGACTTGACGATAAGGATTGATCAAATGTCTCGCCATTCAACCGTAAAACATCCGCGAAGCGGAAAACTTATTAACGCGATGCATAGAGTATGCATAGAACACTCAAGTATTCACAGTGCATGTCGCCTGGCCATTACGAACTTTGCATTCTGTGAACAATGTCGTATCCTAAGAAGCCGCCAGGGCGTAATTTGCAAGCTAGCTGTCGCCTTATCTTAGTCTCCCGCGAAAGAAGCAGGTTCTATCATCTCGTGAAAGGATGTTGGTGCAAATCCTCTCACTTGTCTCGTGTAAAAAAAAGTTGACCGAAAATGATCCCGGTAATCCGATCGAAAATTGCCTAGTCTGCGGAAAATACTCCTTCTTCGACAATAGCGTGTTCTACCTACGTAAAGCCGGAGAGCTGGAATTTATCTAACGATTGCGTGGAACAAATCCTTTTTCGCCCTGACGAAAAAGTAGCCGGTCACGCGATTCAGAGATTCAAATGAAACGAATGATGCAAAAGTGCGATTATTGTACTCACTCGAAAGGCATCTCGCAACTCTTGCTCTTCCTGATCCTGGTCCGTGGAGCAGCAGCGTGTTTGCGCCAATGTTGCTCACGATCTCGACGAATTCTTCAAAGCTGACGTTTCCATCGCCTGAAAAAAATCATGTTAAGGCTATATTAAAATCATTAAAAATGTAGTAAATTTAATTTTATTAAATAATAAAATAATGGAAGATATTTAATATTATTTAATAATTATTTTGTTTTAGATCTATATAATCCGTATAAGATTCTTCAAGATAAATTACAATAATAAATTTCACAATAAATTCCACAATCTGTTTAATTAAATGCGCAATTTAATTGTGCATGTAAAATACAGAAAGTCCTGATTGTACAGAAATAGAAAACTTTCTTCGTCATTTAAATGCAGGGCCAACATTTCCGAGTTCCCAGGAGAACTGGAAACCTTTGATTAAAGAAATTAAATCATTTTTAATTTAGACACTTGGGATTTTTTTAAACCTCTTCTCAGTTTCTTTCTCGACAATGAATAAACCGGTCCGATAAAATTAAAATATAAATATAATTGCATATTTTGTTGTTTTCTCTTTTGATAGTTCCACTGTTATATGTAGCTATAGAGATGTGTTATATATTTAACGGGCAATTCACGTCGATCCGAACGCAAAGAGATTTTCTTGGCGCATTTTGATAAAATAGTTTCGCAACATAAATACTTTTCATCCTTTGCGACCATCCTTTTATATCGCTACACGCGCCATAATAAAAGGAGAGCACACGACAATGTTCACACAAAGGTATAAGGAAAGTGCAGAAATGAACGAACTTTACACCTCGTGATTCAGAATAATGTCCTTGGATGCAAAATTTCTTGCGTGAAAAGCCACGAAGACTTCTTCCATGTGGCTTTTATAAGAGAATTCTTTATATAAAGTTAAACGGATTCTTAATGCGTTACGCTTAATTACAGTCTTTTTTTCTCTCGCATAGGAATTCTCGTTAGTACAAGTTTGTCTAAAAAGAGCCATCGTAATTCCTTCATCTACGACCTACGATGTCGATTTAATGAATGTAAAAACTTTCGTTCTCTCTTCATTGTTATCTTAAAGGTAATTTAAATTTCATTTCGACAGCAGCAATATTAAAATAATGAGAAATTATACAAACTAAAGAGACTGTAATATTCTTACCAGAAAATAGAAACAAAAATATTTTTTGTAAAATAAAAACAGGAAAAAAAGAGAGTATAAAATGCATTTTAATAATATAAATATTTCATATAAAATTTTTGTTACAAAGTATTTACCTTGTATTTTAAAGTATTTATATAATGTTATTAATATCTTAAAATACAAAAAAATGTACGTATAAAATTATATAATTTGTACACTTATCACCTTATAAAACGTTTTTATTTCTGTACACATTTCTTTTTTTTCAATAAATAGATGCATTCGTATACAATGTTTGTTTTATTTTATTCGTATCACTCAATATTTTTTATTCTGTTATTTTAACGATGCGGAGAAAGCAGAAGAAAATAAAAATACGCAAACTCGCAAACAAGTAATTGGGCAGGAAGCGACAATCGTATCGATTGTGGCTGAGGAAAATCGAATTGGCGGATGACATTCGCGAATATCTCGGGGTAACTAAATCACAATAGCGTGCGAATGAAACCCTTGAGCGTTGTCCACATCGAGAATTCGAATCGAACGATTCGATTGGCGCCCACTAATTTGCATAATTTGACCGCCGTTAAATAAACGCGCGATGTATATACAGTTTACAATCCATTTCGCTTCTGTCAGCCATCGCCCGAGCCAATTTCTGCGCAGCTGCAGATAGATTCGCGTTAGCCACGTCACCTGTGATTGTGCCCATAGTGATGAAGTCACGTATTATACTGCAATTACGTAAGTGCCATATATATACTGGCTAATCAAGAAAGAGATTACTATTAAGAATTCAATTTTACTTAGATAATAATATAATTATGTTCTTATATTATATAAAGAAATTGTAATTTAACATATATTATTATAAATATATATATATAAATTCTAAATATAAATAAATAAATGTAATTATATTTCAAAAGAATGACTAAGTGATATATTAAGAAACTTTGTACTATAATATAATTATTTTGATATTAATGCTTTCTTTTTAGTAACTTTAAGAAAAGCATTTATCTTATTTAAAATTTTTTTAATTTGAAAAAATTAATGACATTGACACAAATATTTTGTTGCAGTTAAAATTTTTATACAAGACGATGCGTTATGCAGTTAATTCTTTATTAAAGTATGGAGAAAAGAAGGATACTTTTGTAATGATAAATTAGTATGAATTTTACTACAACTATTGTTAATTACGCAATCTGTTAACCATAATAAATAAAAATTCAGTAGTCAATGCTTAAGCAAATAAAATTAAAAAAAAATAAATTAAGTTTCAAATTAAGCATTTAGCTAAACGTCTCACAATCAGTATTTACATTGAGATTTTTAGATACCAAATAATTTTGCAACTTTCTTCCTATTTCGAATTTCTATTCTATAGTTCTGTAAAGTTATCGCTGCCGACAATTCTAGTCGGTTCATAAGTTTCTATCAGTAACACTTGATTCAGAGGAAATGTAAGATACATTAAATTCCCATTCTACATAGTCACAAGAAGATTGAAGCGCGAGTCTTATATAGTACATTTAATAGACGTCTTCAGATTTGCAAAAAAATGCAATAATACAAATTCTCAAACGCGACTATTCTTTTTTTCACTTTTTATCTACCCATTTATATTGCATCTTTCTAGGCATTTTTTATTTAAAAAAGAACTCCAAAAATGTAGTGTCAGTATTACTCGTCAATTTTTCTATGCATTTGTTATTTATTGACATATTTCTCCGAAAGGAGCCTCTCGAATTTTCCTCTTAAATCTGCAGATGATTCTGACACATATGTAATTGTGGAAAATGCGCGCGTGTCGCTCTTGAAAATTCGCTTAAAATATATACAGTAAATGGAAGTGTGTCGCGAGAAGGAAACACGCGTAAACGCCATATGCATCGGACATAGTCTCTTTCGACGATTTCCGATAAAGATCCGATAAATCCGAGGATGCGATCGTCTCGGGCGCGTCCCTTAAAATCCAAAAGTACTCATTTGCAACAAGCACGAGAAAGAGGCATCTTACCATATTCCCCGGATTTCCGGCTGCAGTCGACGGTTGCGTCGTAGCCTAAGCGGATTTTAGCCGGGGATAACTGTCGGTGTAAACGGGATTTAGCCGACGATAATGCCGAGTAGCGTCGCCTTGGGATTCCGTGACGCTCGTACACACGTCGACTCCATAAAAGCCCTCTTCATCTTTCTCTCCCTCTCTCTCTCTCTAGACTCGTCTTCGTGCATGCGAATCGCATGCTTGCATGTGCATGCGGCATCACACATGCAGCAATAAAGCGCGTGCGCGCGAAATAGTTCGCGCGAGTGCTTGAAAGCGTGTAAACGCGAACTATACGCGATATATATACATTAGGTCTCTACTACTCGAAGGATGAGAGCATAAAGTGTATTATAGCGTCGGCAAAATGTAAAGTATATATTACGCCCGCGCTCTCTTGCAAATTCACCGGCAATAACATTTCGCGCACGAATGGAGATACGCGCGTTGAGAGATGCGCGAGGATGGTTTACGATTCGCGTCGAATCGCGCGAAACGTGACTATTCCGCTTTTCGTTCTTCTCCAGCTTCCCTTGTGTGCGCTGTTTTATTTATGTTATTTAAGTTGACATCTTCATTTGCATAGCGGAATAAGATGCTCAACCTTCAGCCGAGCGCCGTAAATTTTCTCCAACTTTTGGTATCGCACTTTAACTATGCGAGACATCGCGGTTATTAAAAAAGAATAATTGATGAAGTTACAGGATCTCTAATAAGATGACTTCTTCATCATATTGCTTAACTTAATTATTTTAAACTCAATTATTACAGCAATATTTCATGTTACGACAAATTGCTTAATGTTGCGCCAACTGCGTTTTACGAAAATTGCGCGTAAACAATATTAGATACAATTGTTCGGGATGAAAGTCGGCGCGGACATTTACATCGCCGCGAGAGATGAAATGTCCCGTCCGCGGAGTCTCTAGAATAATTAATCAATAGCGATTATCAACATTGATCTGCTCTACATAATTCCCGGTCCCGTTGCCAGATAACCCATAGACAGATGAGGCGAATATATAGGTGACATATGTATACGCGAATGACACATATACACATGGACACGGACCCTGTGTGGAGCCCTCGGGTATTTTCTGATAGCGCGCGGATTCGTCGCGTGTATTATACCCCCATGTATTACATGCCCCACGTACGTATGCGCGCGGGCGCATACAAATTGACTGGCGTGTTACGATACCGGGGGCCCGGCCGAGATTCCGGATAAATTCCATAGGCGTAACTCGAGAGGGGTGGGAGAGAATCAGGAGATAGGAATCGTGCCAGCCTCCCCATGTGTGCAGAGGTGCCTCTCTCCGGCGGATTAATCGCAGATAATCCGATAAGAAGGCCGCGATGTTGGCATATTACGAATGTCACGGTCACGTGTCCGGCATAGTATAGTCGAAAATGAACGTTGATGGGCTTTCGAGCTTTTATCGCCCTCGTATACCGTTCGCAAAAAAAAGCGTGAATTAGCTTCGTTTCACGAGAGCCAGCCCCGGCTCTCATCTACCCGATTGCATCTATCATTTTTTTTTCTTGCTTTTCCCTCTTTTTTTCTATATAATTTTTAAAAAATTTTTTCCCCTGTCAATTCCCAGGCAGTCGTTAAAATTCTCATTAAATCCACGCTCCGATACAGCAATCACTTTACGTAAATCGTACGATAGCTGTATCTTTTGTATCCGTCCTAACAGAAGCACAAATTACGTAACGAGCAATATTTCGCGCGACGACGATAAATCCGTGAACTTTCTTGAAGAGAAAAGGAAAGATAATATTTCACAGCTGCAGCTTTTCGAGGCGTGTCAGATTATATGATTAAAAAGTCGATACACAGTTATTGTGCTTGTTAAGAGTGACAAACATCGTTACGGCGTTCTTCCAGGGTTCATAGCT